AGTTAATTAACAAACGGAGACGTAACAATATAATCATGGATGTTAAATTGTACATCAATTTTAAGCCGGATGGTTCAACCTTTTACCCATGATGTAGATGAAACATTTACTGAAGAGGAAACATTGTTAAATACCCGATTGGGACTTACCTATTCACATTTATTTGTGAAAGTAAAATTTTAAAGCGAAAACTTTAACCCGTGATTAAAAATGAGTGGTCGGGCCAGATAACTGGGTTTGACCTGCCAGTTGGATCACACTGATGAAACGGTTAATATATTCTTGGTTACGTTTGATTACAGATAAATATTTTAAATTATCTCAAGGCTGAAATTACTATTTCTAATTATATCAAACGGAAGTTGAACAATCCAAATTTCGTTCTTCAAAATGTAACTTAACGTTCCTTATTACATAAGATGTTCAGATTGGAAGTTAACCTTCCTAATTACATTGGTCAAATTGAAGGTCAACTTTTGTAATTACATTGGTCAAATTGAAGGTCAACTTTTGTAATTACATTGGTCAAATTGAGGGTCAACTTTTGTAATTACATTGGTTAGATTAAAGGTTAACGTTCCGAATTACGTTGTTCATACTAAAGGTTAACATACCTAATCATGTTGTTCATACTAAAGGTTAACATACCTAATCATGTTGTTCAGACTAAAGGTTAACATAACTAATTACATGGTTCTGACTAAAGGTTAACATTCCTAATTGTATATTTTTTTACTAAAGATTAACCTAACTAATTACATTGTTCATACTAAAGGTTAACATAACTGAATACGTTATTCAGACTACAGGTTAACATTCCTAATTGTATTTTCTTTACTAACGGTTAACATAACTAATTACGTTGTTCATACTAAAGATTAACATAACTAATTACGTTGTTCATACTAAAGATTAACATAACTAATTATGTTGTTCATACTAAAGGTTAACATAACTAATTTCCTTGTTCAGACTAAAGGTTAACATAACTAAGTACTTGGTTCAGACTAAAAGTTAACATTCTTAATTGTATTTTTTATTAAAGGTTAACATTCCTAATTGTATTTTTTTATTAAAAGTTAACATTCCAAATTGTATTTTTAACCTAAAGGTTAACATTCTTAATTATATTTTTTATTAAAGGTTAACATTCCTAACTGTAATTTTAAAATAAAGGTTAGCATTCTTAATTTTATTTTTTTTACTGAAGATCAACATAACTAATTATTAGGTCGTCAAGAAATTAATGCTGCGTTTGGAACACTTTCATTAACCACCCCCAAAAAACGTACATCACTTATAATAGTTAAATGTACCGCCTAAGCGTCAAGTTAGTGTAGCCTATATAATGTGCAAAGTTTAGTATACTCTAATCCCTTATAATGATGGCACACGACGAGACACACATTCGGCATGCAATGCTGTTTGAATACAAGAATGGAAACAACGCCTCTGTGGCCAGCAAAGAATATCAAGAAGTTTATGGAAATGTTTAGAATGTTCGTAAGTGTCAACGATGGTTCAGCAAAATTCATTCAGGTGACTTTAG